TCTGCCAAAATACAACCCAACCAGTTATTTCCTAAACAGAGTTATTATAACGACTATTGAATTTATTGAATGCTAGCCGAAGATGAGGTTGTTGGAATTCCTGTTGCATCAATTTATTTGTTATTAGCCTGCATCGGTGTTTAATTTGCTTGTACTCAGAGAATGCTTTTATCATCAGTTACATTGTAGTTGGGAGATGTAAACATCTTATGCAGATGATAGCAATATAAAACTTCTTAACAGTAGAAAAAATTGAGATGGAAAAACTCGATGCCATCTTGTCTTGTATGATTTTTATATGGTATCATCAATCTTACATAAGTTTAAAGAACATATCTAACTAATATAATGGAAATATAAATCATGTATCAGAAATAAAAATTATAGAATAAACTTTGGAAAATACTTTATTTTAAAATTACAAGAGTCACTTTTCTTCAACATCCAATTACATGGCTTGAGTGCGTTTCATCATGTAGTGTCGCCTGTTTTTCAGTATCCACACCAGGATGGTTTATCACCAACCCGTGTCCCTGAACACTCACAACGGTATGCCTCGTTTGTCAGAGGACAGTCTGATGGTCTCAATACGCAAGTTCCGGTAGCGTATCCAAGACATCTACAACGTTGTGAACAGGTTTGCCAGCCATATCCAGTGAGAAAATAACTCCACCTTGTGCACCTACTCCAAGTAGCCCAGCATTTCCCAATCGGAAAAAACCATCCTTCAGCTTGCGGACAATTCAATGCAAGCAACAAGAAAATCATACTTGTTGCACCTAACATAACCTTTCCATGACTTGCCATTGCTGTTTTTTCTGAAACAAAATGTTTTATTTTCTTTATTCAATGGAGTTGAAAATTACAGAATAAATTGTTTTCCAGAGTTAGCTGAGATTTCCGAAAAGATTCTATCAAATTACATTTTTGATGTCTTTAAAAAAAACAGTATGAATATCTCCTTAAAAATACGCCAAAAAGACTATTCAAGATATAAATACTTAAATATACATATAGATCATGTTTTTATACACTCGGTCATTCATTATTTTAACAAATATTCTGGGGTATATTGAACAATGTCTTTCTATTTAAGGCATCTTTCTATATTCTATATATCATGCTAAGAATATAACAAAATCATTCATACCAAATGATGTTTTCTTTTGACATTTTAATTTAGAAATTTTTCCGAACACAGTCCTTTGAGGTTTTGCCAAAGGAAAACCTAGGAAATAGCTCCAAATAAGTTTAAAAACTTTTACAGTTTATATTTATATATCACTGATTAACAAATAGAAAGTATCATTTGAAAACACATAATTTAAAAGATTATATTTATCGAGAAGAATTCTTTTTTTTTTAAAAATGCACACATAAAAAAACACCTAAATAATACTCTTAGTAAAAGCCATAATTGCAGAAACAATTATGTTTATTAATAAAGGGCAAGTTGGACTTTGATAGCCTCTGGAAAGTTGTTTTCCCTGTTTATTTTGTCTAAATGTTTAGATCTTAAACCGGAAGTACATTGCAAATTGGTGGATTTTATAGGGGTCTTGTCTTGATACATGGCATTCTTTCAATAACAGCCTTTTAGAGACCATTCACGTCCAACTTGCCCTTCATTGATTAACAATTATTATTTATTAAGTATCATGCAATGATGATTTTCACTAAAAGTGCAAAATTAAGCAGGTACAATTAATGTATTCTAATTAAGCAAAAAATAATTAATATATATATTTTTACTAAAAAAAATTATTTTTTATATATTTGTTTTCAAGTGATACTTTCTCTTTGATATCACTGATATTCTTATAATACACTGTAAAAGTTTTAACTTTATACCTCACATAGTTTTGGAGCTATTGTAAAAATAAATTTTTGGACATCATGTCCTTTGGAAAAATCTTTAAAAAAACACCTTGGACAATTTTATCTAAAGCACTTTTCTTGATGGGTTAGTCACATTTTACTCTTTGGATATTTCATGATAAACTATTTCGATCACTACTCTAGAGCATGTACAGTACTTACTTTTGTTGATTCTCTTACAAAAAATGGGAAATGCAATGAAACTACAAAAATGAGCATCTTTTTATATCTATCTGTTTCTCCGGATAGATTTTCATACAGGATGTATTGAATTTTGAAATAAGCAACATATTTCGATCATCTGTGCTTATCCAATTAAACATCTTGATGAAATATGAAGATAATGAAATCGAAGAGTAATCATTTTTTAAATTTTCATTAACCCCTTACATGGCATATACGCATTTCTACGCTTCTGACTTGAAACACAAGTACATTCATAACTTCGTTAATACTGGAAATATCAAAATAAATCTTGCACCGTTGGAAAGAGAAAATAGATACGGTAAAATACGGTAAAAACTGGTCGTACCAGTTTTTTGCTAGCTTGAGTAAAACTGTGCGCACTATTTGAGCGATTTTGCCACTATCAAAATCATTGCGGGGGTAACACATATGTAAAAATGCTGAATTTTGATGTGTACATCCCAACCCTACCCAATCCCCCCAAAATACTTAGAATTGGTTTGTAAAAAATGTACAACATGTTCATAATTTTCAACGCAACAATAAAATATTTTTTAATATATTTCAATAAGGAAAAAAATAGAATGAAACTCATTATTTAATAAATGGAAATTCCAGCATGATTATGGTCATCGTGTATATCGTTGCCATGGCAACTGAAATGAAATTTTAATAATAATTTTTATAACCAACACAATACCTGCTTTCAGAAAATATATACATTGGTGTATACAAAAATTACAAGAAATACTCCAAAAAATGCATTGAAATCTTAATATCAATTTTTCTAGAAATGCTTAAAATCTTTGACATGGAAGGGGTTAAAACAATACCAATTACAAGCTGTAAAACATCAGAGAAGAGATCAGTTGCTATAGAGGTGTTAGATTGTAAGAACCGATCACACCTGGTAAGTTCCTCTTGTCATGAATTGGGACAAAAGGCCAATTGGTCACGACGCTCACCTGAGTAACTTTGTAAGGCTGTTCTTCAATTGATTTCCCCTTGTCAAACTTGTAACCCCGACCACCCCCCACTCCCGGGGACATAATTTGAATAATCTAAAATCTATACTATCACGGATTCTTCGACATAAATTTTAGCTTTTTTGATCAGTGGTTCTTGAGAAAAAGAATTTAAAGATTTCTTCGTTATATTTATACCCCCGCTTAAAAAGGGGGAGGGTTTATAGTTATCGGGATGTTCTTTCGTCCGTCTGATACACTTTGGGGTACCCATCTCTTATTCGCAACTCCTCTTTTCCCACTGAATGAAATTTAAGGATTAATTTCACAGAATCTTTGTTTGATGCGAAACATATTTAGGTTTCCAAGAGCAAAACATATGGACACGGCCAATCTTTCTATAACATTGAAGGGTACCCCTCTCTTATCTGCAACTCCTCCTATACCACTGATAAATATTTAATGATACTTTCAAAGATTCTTCATTACATAATTCCATTGCAGTTGTGCACCTGTCATTTACTTTTTGATCTGAAACTTTTTTCGGGTCTCCCAGATCAAAACATGGACTTTGCCGTTATAACCATATAAGACGATAACATATATAAGACCATATACAACGTTATAACACAAGTGTAGAGACTTTACGCTTTCGTAGATGCAGGTGGCTTATATATGTCTAAAAGAAATTTCATGGGAAATGAATGTCATCTGTTACTTTTTAGGTAAGACCATCCTTGCAATGCCAGAATCCTGAGTCAAAGGGCCCCTGATATTGCAAAGATGGGAAAATACGAGAAAATATGGAAGCTCGTAACAACAGAATATTAAGTATATATGAGGTCATATAATAAAATCAAGCAAATCAAAATTTTAATATCTCGCAGTTATTTTTTTATTTATTTATTTTTTTGTAAAATACAACTTCGCTTTACAGCATTTTTAGATTATTATAGTCGAAGACTTAGTTTAACGTATTTTAAAAACTTAGATCGAGGTTTATGAAGTTTTCATTTCAGCCGTTATACTGTTTAACACTTCTGATGGTCTAAATTAATTTCATAATACCCTAAATTACCCACAGTATTTCTTTAAAGTTGAAGATTAAAGTTAATCATATTATATAGGGAAAATTATCAAATCTCCAATATTTTTGCAGAATATCAGCAATGTATTTTCTAATTGAAAATTGATCAACAAATATATTTTAGGTTAAAAAACGATAGATATCCAGTCATTCAGAGAAATTGTCATGATTTTCATACTTATTTGGTATTTTTGGTCTTCTATTTTCCTCATGTATTCTATAAAACATAGTGAAAAGGGCTTTTGCTATCATTGCAAGACAACACAAATCACCTCTTATTTCATATCATGTTTATAAACATTGGTATCTAAGGCTGGTTTCAAGAAAATTTTATTTCTCTAAAACTGTTTTAATTTTTTTTCCCTTTTATAGGGTACGAATGTCAACTTTTATAAGACCTTTTCTAAGACGTCCAGAAACCTTGAATCTTATGAAGATGAATAATATGAAAATTGTTGCATGAAAAATTTTTATTTTCAAGCTTCATTTTGATGCATTTTAAATTAAATATTAATTTTTGGAGTTATCCTTCCTGGCTGAGGATCGAATATCCTTAAGCTCTTTCAAATGACACCATGGTCAATGACCTTGACTGTTACCTATATGCTAAAAATAGCTATTTTGAAAATTGATGCAGCTGGGCGCATCTTGTACTATATATTCCAATGCTAATTTGTAAAATTTTACCTTGGCCAATTGATGGCAGTATGGTTAAATTCAATACACTGTATCTAACATATTAGATGCATGTGAGACACTATTTGGTTAAGTTTGTAATTCAGCATTTCAAGCACTAGTATTTGTGTCTATCAAATATACTCCCCTATCAAATTACAAAGTGATCAAAAACAACTTCAATTTCATTCTTTAAAAACAAAACAAGCTTTTCCTTCTGTCTTAATTTATTAAGTATCCCAATGCCATTTGGTTTAAACAACCGGCAAGGAATAAATTCTGAGTGACAGTTTTTGTTATCAAGCCATTAGTCAAACAGCCCAAATCCCATGTCATCGTCGGACTCCGACTCTGGCTCAGGTTTCTTCTCCTCCTTGGCGGCAGCAGGAGCAGCAGCCGCGGCAGCTACAGGGGCGGCCGCCGCGAACTTACTGGGATCCTTCAGGTACTCCTTAGTCTGCAATAAAAAAAAGAAAATCTCAAAATCATCACATTCTAGTCAACAGCATATTACAGTAAAACCTAGTTATAGCAAACATGCTTATATAACGAATTTATGCCTACAGCAAAGTGATTTTCAATCCCCATGATATCAAAATATATTATTAACTTTACCAATATAAAAGATTGTGCTTAAAATTGCTCATCCCTGGCAGTTCGTTATAAGCCTGTTTAACTGTACTGCCTACACCAATAAACTGATAGTTTCAGAAGCAACTTGTGAGTATCTTAATCTAATTTAGAATATATTAAATCAAAACTTCACCTTTTCAGCCTCGGGGAAAGTGTAGTCGGTTTCCACAGCAATAGCCAGGAGCCTCTTGAATCCATTGGCAATAGAGTGTGGGGCAGAGGCAGCTGTGGGGTACCCAATGACAAGGGAGATGGCAGCAATATTTCTCACTCCCTAAAACATATTTCAGAATGATATTATTATCATATGAATAATTTTTACAAGTACATTGTATAACTCAAATAAAAAAAATTCAACAATGTTCTGTGTAAAATCATGTGACTCACGATCATGAACTTGTCTTTCAGATCCTCATCAGTGATGTCCAGAATCTCAGGCTCAAAGATAGTACCAGAGTCGTACACTATTAAAGATACAGCAGTCTTAACGTTGATCAATTCAGCATAAAATGGATCAGAAATCTAACGTGTCGAGCAAACTTAAAATTTTGTACAAAAGTTGACATCAGGTATCATGTCCAGAATTTTCTCAAGTCCTCAGGCAGCCATTACTGGCAGTTTCTTGGTCTCAGTTCAGGACAAGCATCAGTGGGTTCAACCATTTCTGGTTCTGACACTTAAGTGTTCTGAACTCACAACAGGTAGTTTGTTCATCACAGTACTAAGAAAATTCTGACATTATTTTCTATTAACAGTTTGATAATATCTAGAATCTTAAAATCCATTCTTGCCATATTTCTAGCAAGAGGCAGAAATTTGGGTTGTTTTTAGAAGGACTTGAATATGGGCAAATCTAAACCCAAATGGAAAACCATTCCTCATATTTTCATGGTCATATATAGTTTTTCCCTCCTGGACAAAATCCATCCAAACTTAGTTTGTTCTTTTTCTTTTCACAACAGAGTATACTGTATACAGGGAAATTTTCGCCCCTTTTACCCTCTTCTTGATTGGGTGAATTTAAAACGGGGCGAACTCAAATTACACAGCATAATTTCTTAAACAGAACTATGACTGAGTGAATTTAAAACGGGGCTAAATTGTCCGCAACCGCAAAAGGGCAAAAATAACACGGGGCGAAAATAACCCTGTATACAGTAGATAAACCATGGAATTGAAACAAATGATAACCATTCTGATTATTTCTAAGGGTCCCTGAGCAAGCCCTGTAATCTATGAGTGAATTAGGAGACAGAAAGGACCAAAGGGAAAGAAAAGAGGCTAATGATAAAGGGGATAATTATGCCCTCACAAGAATTTGACACAAATGTGTTTTCAAACTTGACCTTATTTCTAGAAACCAGGGTTCAGGGTCACCCTCTCTGACCTGAACATGGTATGGAGTGAAGTACATGTCAACTTGCAAGTGCAAGGTGACCATATCTACTGCTGTATACATTGCTCATAATTTTCAACATGCATTTCTACGATAAGTTATTGTCTTACTGCAAATTGAAAACTTGAGTCAATAATACTGAATGACCTGGGATAATAAAAAACTGTAACATTACTAAGATCAATTTCTGCTTCTCCACGATAACAACAGGAACATGACTACAAAGAATACTCAATGTTTCAGGTTTATACTAGATAATGTTCTTCATCCTCAGACAGCCATTACTGGCAGTTTTTTGGTCTCAGTTCAGGACAAGCATCAGTGGGTTCAACCATTTCTGGTTCTGACACTTTGGTGTCCGGAACTCGCAACAGGTTGAGGATTCATCCTTGGATAGAACACTAGAATCATTCACATATACAAAGGCATAGTACTGCATAGCAACACATACCTTTCTCAAGGACAAGTCCGTAAGAAAATGGAGAGATGTTCAACATGTTCAGGAGTGTGGACTCTGATGACCCTACCCTGTCACCAGCCTTGATCAGATGCACTTCATTCTACAAAGTTTAACATTAACATTTATCACACCTTATAAATCGAGTAACTCCTGCTTCCACCTTTAAATGATAATTTGTAAGTATATATTATCAAGTGCCAGTTCTAATATGCATGTTAGAACCAGCAGTCAGTAAAATTTTAGCCCCAATTCATTAGATCTATTTTAACTCTTTATGCATTGACATATTTACATGCTTACCTTATCTTAGTGTTTTATAAATCTCAGAGTGACAAATATAAAGTTTAAAAGAGCAGACATTATAAAACATCAGCTACAAAAATCACAATCAGTTTGCTTGCTTTTGTCAAGTATCTTATCCACATCCTAACCCTAAGTAACCATGGCTGACAGTTAAAATGACACTAATGCTATACTGACCAAGATTTCAATGCATCCTCTGGTAATCTTGGTGGGGATCTGCAGAGCCTGGAAGAAGGAGGTCTTCTCAGGTCCCAGGGTGGTGGCCTGAGCCGGCACCTTGACGTCCAGGGGGGCCAGAGCACCTGCCTTAGCCGGGGCTTTCACCTACAACGGTCAATAGAACTGGATTACATAACTGAGAAGAATTTACAAAAATATGGAAAGTGGTTACAGCAGTTAACATATGATATCCTTGAGCATTGATTTTATGTAGGCTTTTGACACAGACTATTCATTTTCTATTTACCTTGTTCGATAACAGGACATCTCTGGTCTCAACCAAGTCACCCTTCAGAAACACAAACCCTACATTGTTCCTAATGTGGGGCAGGAGCCTGAAAAGTTCAAAAACCAAATCTTAACACTGATTCACATGTGTCTTTTTTTTTTAATATTGCCAGTTTACTTCATAAACTGTAAAAAAAAAAAAAACTCATTTATTTATACATTTCAACAATCTCAAAAACCAGGGATGTTTCAAGGTGGGTTTGCAGTCCTAACCACTTTTTCTTTATGCCTTTTAGATATCATTGCTATGTTGAATCCTTGGATATCTTCAAAGTTTAATCCTGATCCAATTGAGTTTAAAATAATGAGGTTTGACCATGTTTGAATAACATAGCTCCCTGCTTACTTTTCCAGAAGTGGATTCTTCTCAATGTGTCCTCTGATGGCCTTCCTCATCATGGTGTTCTTTCCCATCAACACAACTGAAGAAGAAACCATCACTTACATTATTACTGAAATAAAATTTAAAATGATTAAGGGTGTATTACAAACATTGGGCCAACGTTGGGCCAACATACTACTACCAACTTTAAAAGACACTTTCTTTATGGGTGTATTACAAACATCGGGCCAACGTTGGGCCAACATACTACTACCAACTTTAAAAGACACTTTCTTTAAGGGTGTATTACAAACATCGGGCCAACGTTGGGCCAACATACTACTACCAACTTTAAAAGACACTTTCTTTAAGAATGTATTACAAATATCGGGCCAACGTTGGGCCAACATACTACTACCAACTTTAAAAGAAACTTTCTTTAAGGGTGTATTACAAACAGTGGGCCAACATCAACATCCCTCCTTCCTTGGGAAGTAAAGTGAATGAAAGTTGCTAACGTTGGGCCAACATAGGAATTCTGCCATGATTGAAAAGGTTGGCATGGTGACATTGGTCCAACGTTGGACCAACGCCAACCATACAACCTTTTACCAATGTTGGCCCAACATAGTCTTGCTATCTGGGTAAGTGGCAGCCGCCATATAAATTATGTGGCGGACGCCAAATATTAAGTGGCGACCGACAAATGATAAGTGGCGGCCGCCAGATAAAATATTTTTCGTACGTGGCACCAACGGGCTTCCTTTTCAAAAACTTTCAGGTACATGTAATCCATTCAAATACTTTTTACCTGGTTGATCAACCTCCCACTATTAAAGACCATACACCACCCGCCGGCCGGTATCCAATTGAGTTATTATACCCCCGCTTGAAAAGTGTGTGTGTGGGGGGGGGGGGGTATATATGGTAATCAGTATGTCCGTCCGTTTGTCTGTTACGCTTTGAGGTACCCATCCATCTCTTATCCGCAAATCCTTTTATACCACTGAATGTAATTTGATGAGACTTTCACTGAAACTTTAAAAAAATAACATATTGCCATTGTGCACTTCCTATTTTACTTTTACTTTCCGACACTCATTTTGGGTTCCCAATAGCCATAGCAAAACATGGGCACTGCCATTATATTCATATGGGAGGTGGGGATATCATTAAGTGAGCTCATTGCTCACAGTGCCTCTAGTTTCTATTATACCGAAGGGTACCAATCTCTTATATCCGCAACTCCTCTTATACCACTGAATAAGATTGTTTAAAATGATACTTTCACATGTTTCTTATTTCATAATTCCATTATGCACCTCTTACTAGTATTTTTACTTTTTGATCTAACACATATTTCGGGTCTCAAAAAGCAAAGCGGAACTTTGTCATTATAATCATATGGGAGGCGGGGTATGCAATCCAGTGAGCTCGTTGTTTACAGTACCTCTAGATCTAGTTTAATAAATGATACCCCGCCCTCCATATGAATATAATGGCAGTGTCCATGTTTTGCTGTGGGAAACCAGAAATATCTGTCGGATCAAAAAGTAAAATAGGAGGTGCACAATGGCAATATGTAATAAAGATTCTGTGAAAATTTCATTCTGTGGTGTAAGAGGAGTAGAGAGATGAGTACCCCAAAGCGGAACAGTTGAACGGACGAACAGGCTCACGAACAAGACTGATTACTATATACCCTCCCACTTTTAGTGGAGGTATATACATTTATGTGTTAAACGATCGTCATAATAACGTTTCCCTTTCAGTCCCTTTTTGAAAAATCCTTCACCCCCCCCCCTTTTGAAAATTACTAGATCCGCGCCTGGTACTTTGAAAAGTATATATCCTAGCCAATCCGAGTACGTTTGCATAGGCGTCGGAACCGGCAGGGGGGACTTAGTCCCCCCATTTTTGCAATATATACATTAAATAGGCATTATAAATTGGGGTTACCGTTTTTGTCGGTTTTTCTCCCCCCCCCCCCCCCCCCCCACACACACACACTTTCAATTAGCCACTTTCGATTTGCTTCCGACGCCCATGGTTTGTGACTGAGCCTCTGTATGAAATTGTACGAAGCATAGACATATATCTTACATTAAACATTTAAGGCAAAACGAGTTGCATTTTCGAGCATTTTATTTTGCTGGTATAATCATAATTAATGTGTATGTAATTAAAACAATAAGACATTCATGTTCAGCAGTCCTGTTCAGAAATTATCTATTTATGGTGAAAGAACAATTATCCCTGCTGAGAATTATAATCCTACAATTTTATGAGTTCTTAATATATTTGAAAAAAACAAAATGTGTTTGTGAAATACTATATACGCCCGGCGGCAACAAAGTTTTAAAAAGCTATTTTAGTACATAGGTCAAGGCCACAATGTCATTGACTTTGGTGTCATTTGAAAGAGCATAATTAGTGGAATACGCATAACAAATATGAAGTCTCTATCTCCTTTGGTCAAATATTTTGGGCGAAAGTTTGAAAAACTATTTTTAGCATATAGGTCACAGTCGTAAGGTCACAATGTCATCGACCTTGAGAGCATTTGGAAGAGCTTAATTAGTGGAGTATACATACCAACTATAAAGTCTCTATTTTTCATGGTTCAAATGTTATGGCGAAAGTTGGAAAAATCTTTTCTAGCATAGATGTCAAGGTCATTGACTTAAGAGTCATTAAAAAAGAGCTTCATTAGTTGAGTATGCAAACCAAATATTAATTTCCTGTCAAAAACGACTCTTACTTTAAAATGTGCATGGATTTAATCATGTATCAAATAAAATTATACAATAGCGAAAATTATACGACAGAATATTTGTGTGCGTGTGTGTGGGGGGGTTGTGTTGTACATCCTTAAGTTTTTGAGCAGAACTTTTTTGTATAGAGAGATGCATAGAAGAATATACGTCTAGAATACTACTAGTATGTTCCATTGTACCAGTCTCGTTTTATGATGCTGTAATTTCAGCACAATAAAAACCCGCCGGTTAATTTTTTTGAGCAGTTCACGTTTTTAATTAAAGCAGGCATCATTTCCAATTATAAGCCATGCTAGTATATAATTTACTTACCATACATGTATAATTTGTATAGATGATACTTCTAAGGATGCACACCACAAGTCTTGCTTCGGATGTTTGATATCTGACCTACATTTTTGGATGAGTTATAAGGTTTAAGCTTTTTGAAAGCAACAGCAGAGAAAATAAATTCAAAGACTAAATGCCCTCGTTCAATGAAAGTGGCGGACGTTACTTTGGATTTGCCTGTCCCTTCGTCTGTCTTTCTAGTTGTCTGTATCTACGCTTCCGTTTCCAGGCAATATCTCAAGAAGCCTAGGAGCTATTTTCCAGTGAACTTTTATCATATTTATTTTAAAACTCCGTATAGCCTAAAGAAGACCCTTTTGATTTTGAGATTAAAATATCAGGGTCATAAATCAATATTTGTACATTCCAAACACCTTTGCAAATACAATTTATCATTGAGTCAAATGTTGACTGACGTTTTCATACTAATTGTTATTCCTTTATTTATATACGATCAGACTTGATGACGGATTTCTCTGTTATTTCCCGATCATGACAAGGAGCACACGGTAGGTGTGACCGGTCAGCAGGGGATGTTCACCTCATCTATGGCACCTGATCCCACCTCTGATTTGAAGCCCGTGTTTGCTCTGCTCCTATTTTGTATTGTTTTATGGAATTTTGAATAAATTCGTTAGCTTCATATGTTTCATTTTTAGACGTCTTCAAAAACATTTAAAAATTCTTTTTTTATTTTTTCAAAACAAATAGATCTACCAACGTCGAGTAATTTAAAATAAGAAAAAGATTACATGCAAAAAACTTTATTCACAAGAAAATTCTAATTCTTGTTCTCAATTATCATTACAATTTTAACACATTAACTATAAGAAATGGTAGATTAAAATCTCCTGACGAACTGAATAAAACAGAATACTAAAACTACATTTAACACTTATTTAACAAACAAATAATGATTGCAGAATTACAGAAAATTAAAAATTTAAGGATGCTAGCTGTCTAATGGGGGAATCCTTCGGAATTTTTCTTCCAGTCCTCCTGCAAAGAAAAAATACAAACATGTTAATGTAAGAAGTATTGGATTTTAATATGATAAAGGGGAATGAATAAAATTAGAATTTAGGTCAATGGACAAGTGTTCACTAATACGTGGTCTTACAATGACTATATAATGAATACCAAGTCCCAAATTATATATCGCCAAAGATTGTAGAATCGACAAACTTATCGACAAACTTAAAATGAAAGATGCATATATATATCAATGCTTTAGTTGTAAACCTCTTTAAAATTGCTGAGAAATAACTATTTCTGTCATTTTTTGTCTATGCCCCCTCCCTGAATGACTAAAACGCTTTGGTGTGAATTTGTGAAATGACAGTCCATATTACCTGCAAAATGGAATTTTTGTTACACGTGGGGGTGGTGGGGTGGTGGTGTTGAAAATAGTTTCTTTGTTTTCCCAAATAAGAGAATAATGCTATCGTTAGCACCTCTTACACAGTTTAAATCAATCGCGTTCAAAGATGCATATATATAGATTTTAATACAATAAAATTTTTCTGGATCGGAATTAAAAAACAGACACAGTTTAAAGTCAATTTAACTGAAAATCTCGATTTTTTTTCAATTAAAGCTCACATACAAAATAAATGTATAATTTTTAGATTAACAAAAAAAATTTTAAATTTACAGCGTATAACATGAAAATAAGTTAATGAAAACAATGCTAAAAACGTGTTAATTAAAGCATGTGAACATTATTTTTATCAACTATTTTATATCTTATTAACTACGATGTGACAAGCGTTAACACAAAATATCATAATACATGTATTACTCTATATGTATATATACAGTAAAACTTTCTACAATCCGGACATCGCTTATGTTGTTATGTTGGAAAAAAAAAGAGAAAAAATTCAGGACAAGGCAGTTTTTAGCTCACCTCAACGAAGATGGGGGGGGGGGGGGGCTACCCTAGCGGCGTTCGGCGGTCCAGGTTATTTGTGGTTAAGGTTTTTGGAGCAGTTTTTTTTTCATACCTCTTTGCCCTATATTGATTTTCAGATATGC